AAAATAAATTTTTATTTAATAAATAATTTTATATTTAATTATGATTTATTATATTTTTGTATAATAAGTGCGTTTTTAGTAAAAATACCAATATTTTTAGTTCATTTATGATTGCCAAAAGATCATGTTGAAGCACCTGTTTCAAGGTCAATAATTTTAATAATTTTAAATTTTTTAGGAGAAATTTCATTAAGAGAATTGTTTCTTGGTCATGAATTTCAATAATTATATTATCTTTGTTTTCTTTTTTTAGAGCTGCTTATACCTTATAAAGAGTTAAACATGTATATTATGAATTTATTTAAATAGTATAATAAAAATACTAATTTGTGGTGTTAGTGATATGATGAATTCATTTTAGATCATGAAATATATATCAATTTGTATAATTAGATTTATTAATTTAATTTTTATTAGAATAACATGTTTTATTTTTAGACCGAAAGACGGGCATATACAGACACAGACAGACGTACACACGCAGACAGACTGTCACAAGCAGACATACACAGACACACGGGCAAAGATAGACAGACCTAGACGGGCACGGACACAGACAGGCATATACAGACAGTAATACACAGTCAGACGTCAGTTCTGAAAACAGCAAATACATAAGATTGAATTATAGCTACAGCAGATTCTAGAACTAATAAAGCAATTTGTCTAACTAATAAGAATGTTACTAAAATATAAGATATTGAAGGACCTGTATTACCCAATAAAGTTAATAGTAAATGTCCAGCAATTATATTAGCTGTTAATCGTACAGCTAGAGTTCCCGGTCGGATGATATTTCTGATTGTTTCAATACATACTATAAAAGGTATAAGAATAGCTGGAGTACCTTGAGGAACTAAATGTACAAATATATGTTGAGTATGATTAATTCACCCATAAATTATAAAAGATAACCATAAAGGTAAGGCTAAAGATAAGGTTAATGTTAAATGGCTTGTTCTCGTAAAAATAAGGGAATAATCCTATAAAATTATTAAATAAAATTAAAGAAAATAATGAAATAAAAATAAATGTTGAACCGTTATGACCTGAAGGTCCTAACAATGTTTTAAATTCTTTGTCTAAAGTCAATAAAATTGAATTTCAGAAAATATTATATCGAGAAGGTATTAATCAATAAGCTGAAGGAATTATTAAAAGTCCTAAAAATGTTCTGATACAATTTAATGATAAACCGAAAATTGCTGATGGGTCAAATACAGAAAATAGATTTGTTATCATTTTCAATTTATTGAATTTAAATGAATATTTTTTAATTCGTTTGATTTAGGAGATGAAGGTATGTATGAATAATAATTTAATGAACAAAATAAAATAAAAATAATTGAGAGTAAAAAATAGTAAAAGTCATCTAATAGGGGCTATTTGAGGAATTAAAAAATATTAAAAATTTAATAATTTTAGTATGACATACTAATGTTATAAGTAATTTTTTCACAAAAAGTAATCGTTAATTTACTATAAAATGGTTTAAGAGACCAGTACTTACTTTCAGTCATCTTGTGATGAATTTAAATTAGTAGAAATTCACTTAATGAAATAGTTTACAGGAACTCTTTCAATTACAATAGGTATAAAACTTTGAATAGCCCCACAAATTTCTGAACATTGTCCGTAAAATAATCCTGGGGGGTTAATAAAAAAATGTGTTTGATTTAGGCGGCCAGGGGTTCCATCAACTTTTACACCTAAAGCGGGAATTGTTCAAGAATGAATTACATCTGCAGCAGTTACTAAGATTCGAATTTGAGAATTTATAGGTAAAACAATTTGATTACCAACATCTAAAAGACGGAATCCATCTGTTGTTAATTCATTTGTTGGAATTATATAAGAATCAAATTCAACGTTATTGAAATCTGAATATTCATAACTTCAGTATTATCGATGACAAATTCTCTTTAAAGTTACAGAAGGTTCATTAATTTCATCTAAAATATATAAAAGTCGTAAAGAAGGGAAATGAAAAAGGAAGTAAAAAAATAGTTGCAGGAAGAATAGTTCAAATAATTTCAATTAACTGACCGTGTAAAAGAAATCAATTTACATATTTATTGAAAAATAATGTAAATATAAGATATCCGGCTAATACAGTAATTATTACTAAAATTAATAAGGCATGATCGTGAAAAAAAATTAACTGTTCTATTAAAGGAGAAGCACTATCTTGAAGACCTAAATTAGCTCATGTTGACATTAGTAACTTCTAATAAAAGTTAAATACTTTATATATGGAGCTTAAATCCATTGCACTAATCTGCCATATTAGAATGATTAATTAGTTAATAAAGGTAACTCAAAATATCTATGTTCAGCAGGTGGGGTATTTTGGTATCATTCAATTGAAGAGTTTAATTGAATAGGATAAATAACTTGTCGTTGTGATACAAGACTTTCTCAAATAATATAGAAAATAAATAAAATCCCTAAAAGTGAGATAGATGAACCAATTGTTTAAATTACATTTAACGTTGTGTCGAGGTAATCAGAATATCGACGAGGTATCCCAGCTAATCCAAAAAAATGTTGAGGGAAAAAAGTAAGATTTACTCCAATAAATATAATGATAAATTGACTTTTTAATCATTTATTATTTAATTTTAACCCGGTAAATAAAGGGTATCAATGAACAAATCTTACTATAATTGAAAATACAGCTCCTATAGATAAAACATAGTGAAAATGAGCAACTACATAGTATGTATCATGAAAAATAATACCAACTGAAGAATTGGCTAATACAACTCCTGTTAAACCTCCGACTGTGAATAAAAATACAAATCCTAAAGCTCATAAAATAGCATGGGAATATGTAAGTTGTGCTCTAAAACTAAAAATTTGGATACCTGTTAGAAACAGCAATAATTATAGTTGCAGATGTGAAGTAAGCTCGGGTATCTACATCTATTCCCATAGTGAATATATGGTGAGCTCAAACAATAAATCCAAGTAAACCAATTGCAAGTATGGCATAAATTATCCCTAAAGACCCAAAAGTTTCCTTTTTTCCTGATTCTTGACTAATAATATGACAAATTATTCCAAATCCTGGTAAAATTAAAATATAGACTTCAGGATGACCAAAAAATCAAAATAAATGTTGGTAAAGAATTGGGTCCCCTCCTTCGGCTGAGTCAAAAATGATGTATTTAAATTTCGGTCAGTTATTATTAGTAATAGCTCCGGCTAAAACTGGAAGTGACAATAATAACAAAAGTGCAGTAATTACAACTGATCAAACAAATAAAGGTATACGATCAAGAGTAATTTCTGTTGATCGTATATTAATTACAGTAGTGATAAAATTAACTGCCCCTAAAATTAAAGAAATTCCGGCTAAATGTAAAGAAAAAATAGCTAAATCTACAGAAGCTCCTCCATGAGCAATCCCTGATGATAGGGGTGGGTAAACAGTTCATCCTGTCCCAGCTCCGTTTTCAACTATACTTCTCACTAATAAAAGAGATAAAGAAGGATGAAGGTGTAAAACTCTTATATTATTTATTCGAGGGAAAGCTATATCAGGAGCTCCTAATATTAAAGGAACTAATCAATTTCCAAATCCAATTATAATAGGTATTACTATAAAAAAAATTATAACAAAAGCATGTGCAGTAACGATTACATTATAAATTTGATCATCTCCAATTAAAGCACCAGGATGGGCTAATTCGGCTCGGATTAGAATTCTTAATGATGTTTCTACTATTCCCGCTCAAGCTCAGAAAATAAAATATAAAGTTCGAATATCTTTGTGATTTGTTTGAAAATAATCATTGTCGCCATTAAGTGGCTGAAGTTTAGACGATAGATTGTAAATCTATTTATAAGAATTATTCTTCTTAATCAATTAAAAATAAAGGTCATATAGTCAACAATTATATCAAACTGCAATTTTGAAAGTGTAAAATTTACTAAGGCTTAAAGGGTATTAGTTTATTTGTAGCTTAAAATATTATATAAAATAATGAAATTAGGAATATACCAAAAATTAAAAAAAAAATGTTATTAATAAGTATAATTTTATAATAAAATTATTGATTTGTTTTTTTTTTCGTAATAATTTAGTATAAATGCTGAGTAAAAATAAAGTGATTAATGCTGATATTAACATAATAAATAATTGAAAATATTGATTACAGAAAGTTATTTGTTGGATTAAAGCAATAACTCCACCTAATTTATTAGGAATAGAACGAAGGATGGCGTAAGCAAATAAAAAATATCATTCGGGTTGAAATTGGGCAGGAGTAACAAGAGGGTTAGCAGGGGAGGGTTATCCGGGTCTCCAAGTAAGTTTGGGTTAACTAAAATTAAAGAAATTAGTAAAAAAAATTATAATAATAAAACCAACAATATCCTTTTAAGTAAAGTAAGGGTGAAAGGGGATTTTGTCTGTATTTGAATTTAATCCAATAGGGTTATTTGATCCAGTTTGGTGTAAAAATAATAAATGAATTATTGTTATTGCTAAAACAATAAAAGGTAAAATGAAATGAAAAGTGAAGAATCGTGTTAAAGTTGTGTTATCAACTGCGAATCTACTTCAAATTCATTGTACTAAATCAAGTCCTAAGTAAGGTACTGCTGATAATAAATTTGTAATAACTGTTGCTCCTCAAAAAGATATTTGTCCTCAAGGTAATACGTATCCTATATAAGCAGTTCCTATTACAAGAAATAAAAGAATTACTCCAATTGTTCATGTTGGGGTAAATAAGTAAGATCTGTAATAAATTCCACATCCAACATGTATATAAATACAAATAAAAAAAGAGGCTCCGTTAGCATGTATAGTTCGTAGTAATCAACCATAATTTGTTAAAAGCTATATTAACGTCTGCTGTGTAATGTATGGCTAAAAATAAACCGTTTAAAATTTGAATAATTAAACAACCCTAATAATGGTGCGGGTAAATCAACTAATGCATTATTAGCAATTTTAAATAAGGGGTGTGAGGTTCGTAAAGGTTTGTTCATTAGTTTATTAAACGTAAAGGTCCCTTGAATATTTTTGTAATTTTTACAACAATTAAAGTAATTAACAAATAATTTATTAATAAAATTGTTACAAAATTTGTTGGGGAGTTATAAAGTTTATTAAGAGAAAGTGTATTTTCTGGAAAATAAGAGTAGATATTTAAAATATTTTGTATTTCGTTATTTATAAAAAAAAAAATTAATATAATTTTTGTCGATAAATAAAAATACAAAAATTCTTAAAAATATAAAAGTAAAACAAATTAAGGTTAATTTAATAGATAAATTAAATATTTCATTAGAAGCTAAGGAGGTAACATAAATAAATAAAACTAGTATACCCCCTAAAAAAATTAAAAATAAAATATATGAAAATCAAAAAGTTTTGGTTATTATACCTGTAATTAAACAAATTAAAATTGTTTGAATTAATAAAGTTAAACCTATAGCTAATGGGTGAATTATATTAATGAAAATAATTGAAGTAAAAAAAATTATTGCGTAAAGAATTAATTGAAGAATTTCAAGAGGTAGTTAATATAAAATATTAATTTTGGGGATTAATGAAAAAGAAATTCTTTTCTCTTGAAGTTTTAAAAGAAATAATCTTATTTTTGATTTACAAGACCAATGTTTTTATTAAACTATTAAAACTAATGATTATATTTTTGTATTGAAGTTTACCTGTGATTTTATTTATTTTTGGGCTATTTTGTTTTGTGTCAAATCGTAAGCATTTACTTTCTATACTTTTAAGTTTAGAATTTATTGGTCTTATTTTATTTTTTTTATTATTTTTAAATATTATATATATTAAGTTATGAAAATTATTTTAGAATGATATTTTTAACTTTTAGTGTATGTGAAGGAGCTTTTGGATTATCAATTTTAATTTCAATAATTCGAAATCATGGAAATGATTATTTTCAATCTTTTAGAATTATATAATGTTAAAATTAATTTTTTTAAAAATTTTTTTAAGCCCTCTTTGTTTTATAAATAATATATTTTGAATGGTACAGGTTATATTATTTTTTATTAGATTTGTTATATTATTAATAAATAATTTTTTAAATTATTGAACAAGTATTTCATATTTTTTAGGAGGGGGACATATTATCTTATGGGCTAATTTTGTTAAGTTTATGAATTTGTTCATTAATAATTATAGCAAGTGAAAGAGTTAATAAATATAATAATTATACAAATTTATTTTTATCAAATATTGTTATATTAGTAATATTTTTAGTTTTAACTTTTAGAAGAATAAGATTATTTATATTTTATTTATTTTTTGAAAGAAGATTAATTCCAACTTTATTTTTAATTTTAGGGTGAGGGTATCAACCAGAACGTTTACAAGCAGGGATTTATTTATTATTTTATACCTTATTAGTTTCTTTACCGATATTAATTGGTATTTTTTATATAATAAATAAAATAGGTAAAATAAATTTTTATTTAATAAATAATTTTATATTTAATTATGATTTATTATATTTTTGCATAATAAGTGCGTTTTTAGTAAAAATACCAATATTTTTAGTTTATTTATGATTGCCAAAAGATCATGTTGAAGCACCTGTTTCAGGGTCAATAATTTTAGCAGGTATTATATTAAAGTTAGGAGGTTATGGTATATTGCGAGTTATTAGAATTATACAACTTATAAACTTAAAATATATATTTGTTTGAATTAGAATTAGTTTAGTAGGAGGGGTTTTAGTTAGAATTGTATTAGCAGGGCTATTGACAATAAGATATTGAGGTTTAGGTGGTTCTTATAGATTAATACTTGCTCATGGACTATATTCATCAGGGTTAGTTTGTTTAGCCAATATTTCTTATGAACGTTTAAATTTTATACCTGCTATAGCATTATGGTGATTTTTATTAAGATCAGTAAATATAGCTGCTCCTCCTACACTAAATTTATTAGGAGAAATTTTATTAATTAAGAGAATTGTTTCTTGGTCATGAATTTCAATAATTATATTATCTTTGTTATCTTTTTTTAGAGCTGCTTATACCTTATAAAGAGTTAAACATGTATATTATGAATTTATTTAAATAGTATAATAAAAATACTAATTTGTGGTGTTAGTGATATGATGAATTCATTTTAGATCATGAAATATATATCAATTTGTATAATTAGATTTATTAATTTAATTTTTATTAGATTAACATGTTTTATTTTAAGACCGAAAGACGGGCATATACAGACACAGACAGACGTACACACGCAGACAGACTGTCACAAGCAGACATACACAGACACACGGGCAAAGATAGACAGACCTAGACGGGCACGGACACAGACAGGCATATACAGACAGTAATACACAGTCAGACGTCAGTTCTGAAAACAGCAAATACATAAGATTGAATTATAGCTACAGCAGATTCTAGAACTAATAAAGCAATTTGTCTAACTAATAAGAATGTTACTAAAATATAGGATATTGAAGGACCTGTATTACCCAATAAAGTTAATAGTAAATGTCCAGCAATTATATTAGCTGTTAATCGTACAGCTAGAGTTCCCGGTCGGATGATATTTCTGATTGTTTCAATACATACTATAAAAGGTATAAGAATAGCTGGAGTACCTTGAGGAACTAAATGTGCAAATATATGTTGGGTATGATTAATTCACCCATAAATTATAAAAGATAACCATAAAGGTAAGGCTAAAGATAAGGTTAATGTTAAATGGCTTGTTCTCGTAAAAATAAGGGAATAATCCTATAAAATTATTAAATAAAATTAAAGAAAATAATGAAATAAAAATAAATGTTGAACCGTTATGACCTGAAGGTCCTAACAATGTTTTAAATTCTTTGTCTAAAGTCAATAAAATTTATTCAATTTAGAGGTTTATTAGAGACTGACTGAAAACTTAGAGGTGGTACTTATCATCTCGTATGTACCATACTTTCTATCGATATATCATATCGCATTGTAACGGATGATATTCTTCAACACCCTTCCTCAATGCGATCATGATTACAAAATGTATCATTTTAATCCTAGCATTACAGTAAATTTCTCATGTTTGACTTTACATAAGTTCTTCGTCAATACATCTGATATCATTTCATCTGTGGGAATGTACTTTATATCTATTACTTTATTTTTGTACATTTCCCTTACAAAATGGTATTTTATTTCAATATGCTTGCTACGCGAATGAAATTTTGCATCTTTAGCAAGGCATTGTGCGCTCTGATTATCACTATAAATCAGCACCTTTGCCATCGGCCCGAGTTCCATTTCGTTGATCAATTTTCTAACGTATACCGCCTCCTTGGCTGCCGTAGAAAGTGCCACATACTCGGCCTCTGTACTACTGAGGGCGACCAAATTCTGCTTCTTTGATTCCCAAGAGACTGCTGCTCCAGCAAGGTAGAATGACCAACCCGTAAAAGACTTCCGATCGTTGCTGTCGCCAGCCCAGTCTGCATCAATATAACAGTGGATAGGCACACCCGTTTTGTTATATTGTAGTTTCAAATATGAGGTACCTTTTAGATATCTCAATACCCGTTTGGCTGCAACCTCATGCTCCTTGTGCGGATCTGCATTTCCCTGCGCCAGCTTGGCCACAGAGTGTATTATATCTGGCCGTGTTGTCAACGCCAAATACAATAGCGAACCAATGAGCGATTGATAGCGTGTTTTATCGACCTGGCCGCAGTCAACATCATCGCACTTCATCTGGAAACCAATTTCCAACGGAGTCGCGCTTGGCTTGCAGTAATGCATGCCGTAATCATTTAGTAGTTCTTCAATGTACTGTTTATGGCCTATGGAGAGACTACCAGTCTTGCCATCTCGCTCAATTTCCATTCCCAAAAAGTAGTGCAGTTCACCACCATCGACCACATCGAATTTGTTTGATATGAGCTGCTTAATGTGGGCCACATCTTCTTCTCTGGTACATGCTAGTATAAAATCGTCAACATATACAACAATAATATTTAAATACCCTTTGATCTTGTTTGTATAAATGCATGGTTCACTAGCACATGGGACGAAACCAATCTCCAAAAGAGTACTCTCTAGCTTTTGGTTCCACTCCCGACCGCTCTGTTTCAAGCCGTACAACGATTTCTTCAGCTTCAGTACGCGCTTGGGATGATCAGCGTCGATAAAGCCCTCTGGTTGTCGCATATACACATCATCGTGTAGCTCGCTGTTCAGGTATGCTGCAGAGACATCCATCTGATGCAGGTGCATCTCGTTCTCGACAGCTAACGCAATCACTAATCTGATTGAGGAGTAACGTGCAACTGGAGAGAACGTTTCCGTGTAGTTAACTCCGTATTGCTGTCCGCACCCTTTCGCGACCAATCTAGCTTTAAATCGCTGAACGTTGCCATAATCATCACGCTTGGTGGTAAAAACCCATTTACAACCAATAATTTTTTCGCCTGCAGGAAGATCGACCAGACTCCATGTCTCAATGTTTTTCAGGCTATCATACTCCTTCTGCATCGCCGATTTCCAGTTTTCAGATTGTTCTGACCGAAATGCCTCCCTAACACATGTGGGAACATCAACATTTCGAGCGTCTAGTACATTCAGAACATTGTACTCTTTTCGTGGACGACCTAGACGCCCAGTGCGAACAATTCGTGGTCTCCCTGGACCTCTTTTACCTGTCACCTGCTCCTCCTCAGCATCTTCTTCGTCACCACTTTGACACTGCCTATCAACAGTTGGACTTTGCTGCTGCTCATCAGGATCGTGACTTTCATCATTTTGCTCGCAACTAAATTTTTCATCTGGCTCGAGGATTAGCACATCTGACTCATGTGATGACCCTTGATCGTGCTCCAATCCTTTCCTGAACTTGTGCTCTAAAAACACAACATCTCGGGATAACACAACGCTTCTTTTGACAGGGTTGTACAGACGATAAGCTTTGGCAGTTTCAGAGTAACCTACCAGTATATGCCACTCGCCTTTTGTTGAAAACTTGTTTTTATGCTTTTTATTTAATACAATAGCTTCCATTCCAAATACTTTTAGATGAGATACGCTCGGTTTTTTCCCATACCAATCCTCATATGGAGTTTTGCCAATCAAGGCTGCAGTTTCAGCCCTATTGCGTAGATACGCAGCCGTCATTATCGCCTCTCCCCAAAAAGATTCACCAACTCCAGCATGCACCATCATACTTCGCGCCATCTCCACCAGTGTTCTGTTGGCGCGTTCCGCCACACCATTTTGTTGTGGAGTGTGGGGAACAGTTAGTTGTCTTTTTATACCATGGCTTGATAAGAATTTTTCAAATGTACCGCTCAGGTACTCACGCCCGTTGTCGCTTCTTATGGCTTTTATGCGTTTTCCAGTTTGATTTTCAGCTAATTTTTTAAAGTCTTTGAATTTCTCAAATACATCACTTTTATGTTTTAGCACGTACACCGACATATAACGCGATTTATCGTCAATGAATGTTGCAAAATAACGCGCTCCACCTTGTGATGCCGTACGAATAGGACCACATATGT